GCAAATACCAGCACTTTCGAGAACAAACCCAAACAGAGATGTCGCAAAGCCACGCAGCCAAATACCAACGTGTGACCCCCTAAGCCCTAAACTGCCAGGCCTCCTTGGTTTGAACAAGGGCTTTTTAGCTTGGTGGCTGTCTGACTCACGCACAGCCATCGATCTATCTAGGAATTCACATAATCGATGTGCAGTGTGAAACTTCCGCACTAGATCCGCATACAAGCTGCAACATCGGCGGCCATGCCCTCTTGGAGCAAGCTTGCAAGGTGAAGTGCCTGAAGCCACGCCTGCATGCTCGCGGCAGTTGAACTATTCTTCCGTCGTCTTTAGCCCGCACATGATGGCAAATGTTCGAGGAACCCATCCCCATGATTTTAGGCAAAATTTTAGGGCGACCAAAGGGAGGGCAGGAGGGCTCTTGTCCGCGTCTGTCCCTCCAGAAGCTGCCGACACCTGCCCTGGGCGCTGACGGGTTCGGCTTTGTACATCCGGCCTTCGACGAGCTGCTCACATCGTATGGCGAGATTGATGGGTGCCGCAAAAGTCTGTGCATGGACCCAGAAAATTAGTGGGCTGAGGTGCATGTGCAGGTGCACAGTAAGACCCGACTCACTGCTCCGACGATGACGGCGCTGACTGCCCGCTGACAGCTGAGGCTGCAGTCGGTTCATGAAAAGTGGCCTTTGCTTTTGACGTTCTGCTAGTAGCTGGAATCCAGGAATCTGGGATCCCGGCGAGAGACAAGCCTTTTGCACTTCCGAGGGTTCGAACTTGGCCCTGTCAGAGGAGAGTGAGGCTCGCCGCTGCGTGAACGCGAGTCGGCAGCGCTCAGATGTACTGCTCAGTGCTGGGGATACCCTGTTTGCATGCTGATAGGTGTAATTCAAGACAGACTCCTTACACACCTGAGCAGCTAACCTCCCCTCCCCCGCCCCCTGCAGCCATGTCCGGCACTCCTGGACGCTTGGGAAATCTGCTGGCCTATGCAGGTGTCATAAAGCTGGTGTTGGGTGCCTGAACATCTTTTTGGGTGAAGGAGTGACTCTGGCACTGAAAAGCAGAGCAGGGTCAGGGACACATGGGAACAAACAAGACTCAAAGGATCCAAGACCTTAGACCTGGTGACAGACAGGCCTTGCCACAAGCAGTGATTGCGGAGTTGTTGCAGACGAGGCTTTGGCCCAAGCTCAGCTGCCCTAAAGATGCGAAAGAGCACAAAGCGCGCGTCCATTCATCGCCCTGTCCACAGGCCAGAATCGCCGAGCAATGTGAGATGCTGTTCGACCGGCACTTCAAACCTGCCGGGTTATTTTCCAGAAAAAGTCTGATGGACCTCGTTTTGGACAAGCCTCGTAAGCTCTCTGGGAATCTCTTGGCTTATTTTGGCATCTGTCACACGCCTGGAATTGTAGCGATGAGCCTGTAGGCCTTTTGCCACTGACCATCTTTCACCAAGGCGGCGGTGAGACTGTTTCGCGTGATCGTGTTCGGCTGCACCGATACTTCCTGCGCAGGGTATCGTTGCAGTTGTGAAGCGGAAAACCAGGCAGTAGCGTACCGCAAAGACTTCCTCAATTCCCACATACTACAAGTCAGCCGAATTTCTTCCTGCCTGCATGGTGTCAAACCTGGTCAGGCGCATTCAGAAATTGCCAGATCGGTGCCCAATCACTTACACTGGGCCACAGCGCAAAATCATGCGCTTCATGAAGCTCGTAAGGGATTGACAATTCCAGGGCTGGTTTCCATCGCCCGCGCTTCTCACAAGCACTGATAGCCGCGCTGAAGCTCACCACGTTTGGCTGGGGCCCTGGCAGTGACTGCGAGAGCTTCTGGCTGAGAGTTCGTCAGAGTCTGCCTATACAACTTTCGTGAGTCTCATGAGGCTAGTGCACCCACGTGGTGGGACTGCACGATGATAGTGACGTTGGTGTGAAAATCAGAAATCCCTCGAACAAGACTGCTGTCGCCCATCCCAGCATTCTGCAGTTGACGTTATCTGGATGGTTGGAGTGTTAACCGTCCAGTGTCCACTGAGCATCACAGCTGCCATGAAGAGTGGCAGCACTAGATATGATAACATCTCCAAGCAGTTTAGCAAGCGATTAACGCTGGTCGGGCACAGGACCTGTCAGATGCAATTATTCACTGCGCAGCCTGAGGTGCACATCTCTGCCAGCATGGCCAACGCAAGCTTCCATTGCGCTGAATTCTCCATTGCCGTGATGACTGCCGAGTGCACCACCACCTTGCAGAATCTCGAGGCCAATCACCACAGAATCACTTTGAATCCCGAAGGTCAGAAGTTACCGCGATCTCGTGGTCAATGATTCGGGTTTCAACGGGCGAGTGCACCGTCCCGAAATCGGTGTTGCAACACTGCATGCCACTCCACTCCAACAACAGAGGCTGGTCAGACAGCATCTGGTCTGTGGTGTCAGCCGGAGATCTCCGATGTACAATCCATATCTCTTCAACTGAGATTCAGGCATTTGGCACCAACTTCCGCATGGTCATCTCCTGAAGGGATGGCACAGACGGCTGCAATGGTATGAATTCACACGTTGACAGGGTGAAAGGTTACGACATTTGGGGTATTGGGTTTAGCATAGGCTTGGACGAGGTAAACTGCACTACGTAGGATTCACAGAAGCGAAGCCAGCGCCAGATTGTGTCACCGACAGAATGCAGATGTGCCAAATCCGCGAGTACATCCCCGGGGGTGCATCAAATGCAAGATGGTCCTGCGATGATCCAAGTGCCCAGGCCGTGCGCCCGCGCTGAATCTACATGTCGAAAGCCCACTACTCGGCAGTCACACTTACTAGATGTCTTACTAGTAAACTAGTAACAGGCGCCTGACACTCATTGACACTGAAGACAGTTCAGGTATGTCTCCTGGAAGAGTGCAAGCGCCTGCTGCCAGTGACCAGCTGAAGCTTCAGCGCTGATTGCAGCGGCGAATGCGACAAGATCCGGTTGAAACAGTCGTTGCAGTTCCTTTGGCATAGGGACGGAAGCAACGGAGAGCGACTTTGATCCAGAGGTTACGAGTAACTGTCGTGCAGCACGAAAAAGCTGATAAAGACCCCTGCCAATACGAATTGTCACCATATTGCCTTATTGTGATTGTTTTCGTTCTCGCAGTTTCAACCCCTGCTCACTTGAGCAAGCTGTGGATCTTCATCTTGTGCAACTGACAGACGGAAGGCATTCAGCAGACCACCGTCACAACGGAAAGCAGGCATTTCGCAGATTCACTGTGGCTCGCGTGCAGTGTGCTCGCTCTCAGGCTGAGTCTCATCGTGTGCAGGTCTTTGTGAATTTTGCAACAATCAACATTTACTGCTAAGGCTAGTCGCGGCGGCCAGTCAGAAAAAACAAAGATCTCTGCGCATTTGACCCACGATAGCAGCAGACAATCGTGAAGCAAAGGATCCGAAATGTGCCATTCAATGTTTCCCAAGCTCTGACATTGAATGCATCATCGCTCTTCCGCTCACTGCCGGAAACTTTGCATGGGGAACTTTCGTCACCACAACACCCTTGGTGTACCTGCTGCATGTTGCCGGCGGTACCAGTAGCAGTTTCTCCTACTGTACCATTCTTTCGTTTCAGTCTCGCTTGCCTCTGCCACTGAAACCTTTCGCGTTCATCTGCATGCTCCCCACATATCCTCAGTGCTCCTTTTACTCCGTCAGCCTTGCGAAACTGTGTTTGACACCGCAAAAAAGGAAGAGAGACCTTCGCACTGCGCAGTATTTCATCCGCCATGCCATCAAAATAAATTGCAACAGTATTGCAAGAAAAACACGTGTGCAGTGATATGAAGCCGCCCAACACATCCAGCCAGCCACCTTCTGTTAGATCGCAAATTGACCGGCAACGAGCATCGCTGAGCGGTTTCGGTCTTCAACTAAGCATCCTTTGACAGTGACAGAGTATGACAGTGTGTCATAGTGCATGATGAGCTTCTGCCATGCAGTTGCACAGATGAAAACTCAGGGAAAGCGATATGCAGGCCACTGAATCCATTTAGCTCTCAATTTCGAAAGCTGGTTACAGTCGGGTGTCGTCGAAAAGCTCTCGACCTTTCGTGGGGGCGGCTGCGCGAGTGCATGCGGTGATGCAGATGCTGTAGCTTTGGACCTGAAAGGGAGACAGGTCCTTTAATTGGAACTTAGGACACTGTAACACTGTAAAGGTTCAGGCCTCAGCACGGAGCTCACGACGCATGCCCCCCAGGAGCTGCAGTGCCAGTTGCCATCTGTGGCAATTTCCCAGTGCAGACAAGACCTGCCATTCTTGAATACATTGATTGCCAAGTCAGGTCCACACAAACAAATTGGTGTCACTATGCTATGCTGCCGGATAGTAGTGTTTAAGCAGCTGGCTGCATTGAGTGTGATGACATTGGGTTGAAACCGAAGGCGAGGCAAGTCTTCAAGAACTTTGACCACCGCCCACCATCGTCCTGCTTTTCCGGAGGATGCCTGGTCGCGACAATCATGGTTTTGTATAAGCATCACGACATACGAGTATCACAACATTGCTTACGACACCTCCCTGCTGTGATTAATGGCTAATCCATAACAATCAACAAATGCACAAATGCCCGTTGGTTGTGTGTTTCATCCAGCAGCTGATCAGACAGATGCAAGCAGGCTGCGATTTCTTTTGTAATGCCTTTGAGGATTCTCACTTCTTGGCGAATGCCATCTCCATGCCTTGCTCGTGATTTCATGCAGCTTGCTACGGGGAACGGCCATCGCACAACCTGGGAAGGTGCATGGCTGATTAATTCCACACGGCCTGATCGGCTGCAGCGGGCTCAGATGCAAATGCAACCACAACGTCGACACATTCTCGAAAACGTCGCCCAGAGCAGTTTTTGCCGCCGCGTTCTATCGCTGCGCGCCTGTGCTAGGTAACATGACGACATGATGGGCCATTGAACTGAGGCAGGGATCCCACCTTCCAGCGGGCATGATTCTGTTGGCGCATACGAGTACCTGCTGTAAGAGGCCCCACCTGCTTAGCTGTGCTTCACAGGAGTGATGCAGATGCGTGCAGAAGCTCACAGGCTGCTCTCAGGTGTCTTTCTCCACAATCGCCTTCTGATTCTTATGTTCGGTCGGCAATGAAAGCGCTGCCGAGCTGTTGAAGTCTGTGGAAGCATGCCGTAGGGCAGGGCTGCTGCAAGAAGACGGCTTTGCCGAAGGCTTGGGGCTGGAGAAAACATGTTTCAAAGCAAGAGACTTCCAAGCATTGTCATATGGTTCGTATGAGTAAAGCTGACGAGGCACAGTGAGGTGTCCGTCAATTTCAGCCTCCGACAGCCGGAAGAAACCTTTTCGGGACCTGGGCTGGTTGCAAATAACAGTCACTGAAAGGAATAGGGCTGGGCACAGGGGCAGCATACATCCTGGTCATGGGCTTTGACACCACGCCGACTTCGATGTCAGAGGCCTGTGGGAGTGGAAGCATGTAAGGGCCAAGAATGCCATCGCACGCTGTCTTGGGAGTCCGTTCAATGCCTTGAAATCCATGCCCATAACTGCCTGGAGGCATCCAATGGCCTGCGAACCAGGAAGCTTGCTTGATGTCACCTCGAACCCGGAAGCCGAAGTCGTTGTGAAATGGAAGGCCGCGACCTGCTGGATGGTCTCCGCTTCCGTGAATTGGATTTTCTTCTTGACTATCTTCTCCAAAGCGTTCTGCGCCTTGCAAACAAGCTGTGAGCAAGAAAGAGGGCAAGCAAGACTTCTTTCCTCTATGACTCACGAAAGCCTCCTGGTCCTTCGTACCAGCTGCAGCGGCTTTGTACCCAAAGTATTGACCAGCAGGATCAACCTGAGAGCAGCTTTGACGAGGTTCGGCCGCAACATCGTTTCGACTGGATGGACTATCTGCTCGAATTAAAGCAGATCTAGCGAAAAGTCCGCAGCTGTCTCTATGACATGCTAGAGCAGAAAATAGGCGCATCAACGCACGGCATTTTGCACAAATCTTACATGGAGCCGTTGTCTGCAAACACAAGTTTATGGTGCGATGCCATGCCTGGTAGAGCGAAGGGCCCTTCTCGTCATCCATGGAAAACCTCGCTTTAACCACGTGCGTTGGTTCGATGATGCTCACGCCCTCTGCATCTCAGGTCATTTCACACCAAGTCCTGTGCTACAAGCTCTTGCTGTTCCAACCAAGCCAATCAGCTCTAAAATGCCCCCGAGGACATAGGAAGTGCGGCATAAGCATGGCTCAGTACTGCGGCCGAGAGACAGCATGGTGCTTACACCATAAGGTCGCATGTAGGCGTGTTGGGTGTACACCTGTGTGTCCAGCGGGCTCTCTCACCCCGACTATCCTGCTGAACATAGAGACTTCGGCTGCTCTTTCAGGCGTGCCTGTGCAATGTTAGCCAGCTTTAATGCAAGGTAGTGCACCTTTCAGCAGTGCAAGAAGCGACACGCGAATTTTAACAGCAGCCAAGTTCCTATGAATCTTTGGGAGATCGACTGCAAATGCCTCAGTGGCCTGCCGGGAATATGCTGGGATACGCTTGCTTTCCTTACTCAAATAGGCCTCTCCCCGAAGTAGAACGCTCCCGGCTGGGCATCACTATCACTGTGTTTTTGGGGTGTAAGGAGAGTGAGCGGAGATCATCATAACTCGAGACCAGAGGAGATGGCAACACGACATCTTGTTCTCGCAAGTGTTGGGCCACGGAACGGCCCCTAAAGATTGTTGCGGGGGGAGTAGCAGGGAGCGCCCGGAGGGGATGCACGACATTTGTGGGGGAACCATCATGAATCGCTGTTCTGGTCACAGGGGTTCAGGGAGAAGCCCATCAATATCCGAAACGCCAACCCGACACGCAAGCCTTTGTAACTGGCGAGGGTGCCGCGAAGGCGAAGGCGATTATTGTGTCTTACTTAATTCGTGAGGCTGCGGGGGCTAGGAGCATCAATTATGCATTTTCTTCCAGAGACGGGAATGTTTCGCAGGCGGCAGCGGGAGGGAGACGTCAAGGCATTTTAGCAAGGGAGACCACAACTACAATTTGATAAAATGCTTTCCAAATCCTTTCGCTATCTGTATCCTTATTGGAATTTACCGGGAGGGGCATGAGCAACGATGGTGGAAGGAAATACTTTGCAATACTAATTTAATACAGCCACCACAAATTTGACTGGTAGTAAAAGAATAAGAATAGCTACCATAAACAAAACATTGAACAAACTATTGTGACATTGTGTCCCATTCCGTCAAACTATTATTACTACTGCTGGAGCGAACCAACAGGCTGAGAAGTATACACAAGTGGAGTAGCTAACATAGCTAACCATCTCCCTTGTCCCATACTCCCCAGTACCCGCCATGGCTCACCCAATCGCGGAGAATGTATGCGCAAGCGAACACGACAGATCTTTGACTATGGTATATGTGTTTGGTTTACATGCATGCTCAAGGCTCAAAATGTGCTTAGCCTAAAGAGCGCTTAGCCTAAAAAGCAACGGAAAAAAACATGTACACCGTACACATGACAAGCACTGCAAACGTCGCATGCACTTCAGCACTCCTACTGCGCAGCCCCGCCAGGCAGTTGCGACCTAGTCCAACCTGTCAGGGCCAACTGCCCTCACTGTGCGAGGGCTCTCAAGGCACCTCGTGCGGAAAAAAACACAGCTATGGATGAACTCACTGAGAGATCCAACCCATCAGGGTGGAGCGGTTTCTACCCTGTTCTGTGTTGAGTGTAGTCGGCAGCGCTCCCGTTGCAATGCTGGCACAATTGAAACCCAACAAACCTGTGCGAGCGCGTGAGCGTGGAACAAGTCTTATTAGTGCGATGGAACTTGGTCCCTTCAGGTGTTGCAAAGTTACGCGTTGGAGCTCCACCTGCCTGCTCACGCCCGGTGCGAGTTGTTTGTGAGGGCGCCTCCTCCAATTGCTTTCGCACCCTCTGAATTTCTAGGTCCTGCGTCTGCGCTCGTTGATCAAATCCCGCTAACTGCCTTGCAGCCTCACTTTGAATCGCTTCTCGGGGCAAGGACGATGAATTTGTTCTTGATTGGGGCCTGTCGGGCATTGCAAGATGTAGGTGCTCAGCGAAGGGCCATCCCTTCCGGGAGGCG